GCCTCACTTCGCCCTTAAAGCTGCAATGGAGAGGAAACTCAACCTTTCAGTCCTCCCCTCTGACGTCTACTCACAATGCGAGTTCTAGTGCTCTACAATCATCGCTAGGACTACTACTTCGCCCAAGTTGGCGACCCAAAGCCCAGAAAGCAATGGCGATAACTATGCTGTCTTGTGTTTTCCTGGACTATTGGGTGTCACGTCTCAGGTCTGAGCAGCAATGATGACTTAGGAAGTGGATAAATGGTGCAAGATTCCTTCCACAGGGCAAGCACAGTTTCAGCACCATGAATATTATTTCCGAAGTCTGAAGGCAGTGCCGCGTCTAAACCCCAGCAGGGACACCATCAACAGCTGTACCCTTGAAGCCCTTGGCACTAGGCATGTACGTACGCGCGCTCGCCCCAAAATGTTTGCATTCCTCCCACGGATGTTCAAGCCACAATTGGGATCCACATAGGGAACGCTGCTACATGCTGCTACAGCTCCAGTACAAGTACAGTCCTTGAAAGTATAGCTGTCAATATACCTCAAGGAAGCAAATGAGGGAAACATCCATGATGTTCAAAGCTTTTCAGCACTGGAGCAGGAGGGGGCTGTCAAACCAGAATGTCACAAGCCTAGCTGCCTAGCCTAAACCCAAACCCAAAGTGGTCCCAGCCATCATCAAACCCTTGACTCTTGACCCTACAACGGCATACATGAAGTGACTCAGCGCCGCATAGGAGCTGGAGGAGTGCCTGCAGGGCTTATGGGAGACTCTGGGCGGCCCGAGGCAGTTTTGTAAGCCGGGAGTTGACACTGGATGGTGGCGCCTGCATTGGTGGGGTTTGGTGGTGGTGGTGGTGGTGTGCTGGGCCACTTGACTGGAGCAATGGGGGACAAATATTTTCCCCAGTTGTTTAAAGTTGCCGGTTTGTAGCAGCAGTTGGGATTTGCTTTGTTTGTAAACCCTGTTCAAGGATGAGATGTCTGGGGCAAGTGTGCTGGAAGGAGATCACGTTGTCTTCGTCTTCGTATGGTGAACAATCATCGGACTCTTTACTGTATGATGGCAAGCCCTGTTGCCGCATGGTAAGCAGCACACAAAAGAAACCTCTCCAAACCCGAAAGCCACGCAAACCCTCACGATACATTGGGATTGCGGTAGGCTGTTGCGTTGATCTCAGTGACCTCCTTCTCGTCGCAAAACTACGCGGTTGGTGCTCACAGGAGCTGAACTTTTGTTCGAGTGGTGTGTTCCTGGACTAACTGAGCTGCTCTTGATTGATTGAGTCGGCACATCACTGAGAAGGGCATCTTGAAAACAGCTAATTAATACATCAATAGTCGCCATGGAAAGTCCAAACACCAGCATGCGCTGCAGGGGTGATGAGAGGCTGCATTGAGCTGATGCATCCCTGTGCTGTCCTCCATGGCAATGTTGGGGCAATCGAGGAGCAGCTTGAGGTGGTTAGTGTAAGATACGCACTTTTAACTAGGACAGATTCTTGATTCATGCCTTGTCGGCTTGAGGAGTTTCGTGGAACTGTTTTCCTTCCAGCCTGTAACTTATTGTGTGAAGATATTCCTGAGGCACCTACTTTGAATGAAGCCTGAACTCCATCGCAGGGTCAAATTGTCGGCACAACCATCCTCAGATTCTGTTAAGGGATCGCATTTTGCCATTACAGGTCTAAGTAGTGAGAACAAGTAGTGTAGACGGATGGCAGTAAACAACCCATAGAGAAGTGTACGGCTCTGACTACTTTCAGATGAATCCTACGGCAGAGGTGAACAATCCAAATGTTGTATCAGTCAACACGACTAGCGGCTGAAAACCTAAAAGGTTTTTGCGAGAAAGCTTCTGGAGATAATTCTGGCATTACGGCACCTTACTCAACAGACCCCGGGTGACAAGCAAGTACTCTGTAGCATGTACAGTACCGAATGTAGCAGATCTTAATAAGGGGGTTTTGGTAACCTCAACCCCTAAAACTAGGAGCCTATGACTATCATATGGCTGATGGTTGGAGGGTCCAAATTTTGAGGGGTGGGGTCACCAAAATCCTTGTAACTCCTATAGAACCCTATAATACAGTAGTTTCTCTTTTCTTTTCCCAATAAAACCCCAATATTTCCCCGATGGGTATCCTTGTTGCAGATTTCCAGCCCCAAGGGAGGCTGGCACAAGCCATATAACCCCTATATAGTCCTACATAACCCCCATATAACCCCTATAACCCCTATAACCCCCATATAACCCCTATCACCCCCATATAACCCCCATAAAACGCCTTTATAGGAGCCCAAGGGAGGCTGGCACAAGTGGTTAAACTTTTTTCATCGAGCCTGTTGGCTTACTTTTCTCGAGATGAGTGGACTTGTTCGTTTGATCCCGCTGGCTAACTGGCTCATGCATCACAAGCTAGTATATGTACTCTAGTCCAAACTCCTTTTAAAGCGGGTTGTATGAAGGATTATATAGGGGACGACTATAAAGGGGATACTAGGAGTTTAGACTATAGCCCTGATATGGAAAACAGGATGCTGTAGTTTTAGTAGGCCTTGCAGACACCGGCCAAGATCCTGCAGAGGTCATATGAAGGGCAAGAACAAGCCTTCGTCTCGAGAAGAATTGCTTTCACTTCCTCTTAGTGGGACCTGTATGAAGAGGCAGCCTGATCTGAAACATGATGGAGGCTGAACCCCCTTCTGTCCGTTTGGAGGCCACAGGACCTGCGCAGGCATTTGACCAAAGTTAGACTCAAAGAGGGGTTTATTGCATTCAATAGGAACGCCACTGCGGACAAACAAAGAGTGGAAGGCACAGCATAATCACGAATCCCGTGTAGTCTCACAACCTGGTAGTATTACTTGTACTATTAGTGTTACTATTATTGTTACTATTATTGCTACTATTGTTGTTATTTTGTTGTGTTAGGACCATTTGCCTGCGCTTTGTTGAGTTGCAATGAAGGGCATCTCACAGTCCTAGGAATCCAGACGGATGGGGCGCCGTGAGTCTGACTGCCTGGGATCTGGGATGGGCTAGCAGGCCCTTCTACCCAGTATCATTAACCTTGATCCCTAAACCCTATAACCCCTAAAGCCTAAACCCATGAACCCCCAAAACCCTAAACTCTAAATGGTTCGAGCTGAAGGGGTTGACCCTCCAAGTCCCAGGCCTGCACATAGCTGGCTCCCGTGCTCGATGAGTGACGCTGACAGTAACATTTCAGACAATAGTTGGGGCACCTGGGCTTTTAGGAGGGTTTAGGGGCTTCATCTACGGATGGCCGCAAGCAAACCACCTCAGGGTTGTGGGATCGCATTTGCTGGGATGAAGGGGAGAGTTTTGATATTCTGGACAAACGGGGCGGGTTCCACAAATAGGGCCTCAAAAGTAGGCCCCAATAACCCCCATTTTGAGGACGTGGAGCTCAAGTAGATCCACAGTATTTACGACTCCGCAGACTCCAAAGTCATAGTTCGTGCTCTTAGTAGTCCTCAGTGAAGATCGGTGCGTGTTTGGCTCTTGGCCCGGTACTTATCAGGAGAAGAAGGACCTCTAAAGCAATAATCCCAATATAACTCCAATATACTATAGTCGTTTCCATTTTATTTTCCATTATCCCCTATATAACCTCAATATACTACAGTTTGCATCTTGGGTGCATCAGCACCTCACGTCTCTAAGACGTCTCGACGTGTTCGTTCGAACTTGTCTACTTCGGCCTCAGAGTTGAACATGAGAATCCTATTATGTGGGAACATTGGGGTAATGTTGGGGTAGTGGAAAAGAAAATGGAAAGTACAAGAGGGGGTTATATAGGGATTATAGCAGGGTATATATTGAGGTTATATTGGGATAATGGAAGAGAAAATGGAAACTACTATACATTATAGGGGTTATCTCGGGGTTATATACTGTTGGTTTAACAAGGAACCAGTTATGCAGGGGAGTAGCAGCTGTAGCAGTCGCAGATTTGTGCCAGTAGTAGAAGCTGCAGTGGCAGCCCAAAGAATGTATGAATGTCCTATGGAAATATCGATGGCACTGGTAGTCCTAGCAGCCCACCTTTGACGAGAGCAGCTGGGAGCTGGCAACCTGCTCTCGCGTGACTCCGATGATTGCCACATTGCGCAGCATCCCTGAATTTCCAGGAGCAATGCCCGCCAGCAGCCAAAGGCCACAGACTGAGGCGGTAGGTACTAGAAAAGAGATCCCAGTCCCAGGGCGTGGCGGTTTCATTAAGGCTTGGCATTCGCAAGGGTCGTGCAGCAAAGGAAGCTGGCCTAAGCTCATTGAACTTGACAAGGCAGTTGATCGCATGCCTGTTTCAAAACATTGCTACTGTACAAGCTTTGTCCGCACCTGTCATTAGAAGGAACGTACGGACTTTTGGCTCTGGCGTGGCAAAGCCGTAAGTGTCGGATCTGCGCTGCGGAAAAAAAATCTGGAAACGCCTTGCGCTCCCACAGCCACCGGGTTCCTTGTTCGTGATGCTAAGCCTAGCATTTGGAGATCGTGTCTGGCAGTGGGGGTCTGGAGGATGGGGTGGGTGGTAGGACGCAGTCCAGCCTGGCTTGGCTTCCGCTGCCAATTTGGGCTTGAAGCAGAGAATGGACTTGCCATGTTAAGGCATGTGCAATGGGATGTGATCGAAATAAGTTTGTAAGCACTCCTCAACATTCTATTCCGCCTTTGAGCTTGGGGTTGGTATGGGTTGGTGAATCAAGACTATTGCCACATCTGCAGTCCTTCGTCTTTGTCGTCCCTTGTCGCGCTGACGGCCGACATTCCTTGATGCCAGATAGTATAGATCCCAGCAGACTTCGTTTCCTGCCGCAACATCATTAGCGGTCACTTCAATAGCCTGCTGAGCATGGTTCGTGCGTGTCTCGGCATCGTGATTGCCGTCCCTATTCTGGGGAACGCCGCAGTTCTTCTTACTGGTTTTCAAAAGGGATTTCACTCCAAACAGTCTTCGGTGAAGTTTGGGCACCTTCCCGCCGCCATGGCAGTGAATTCACGGGGCCGAAGCCGAAGACCTCCGGCGATGACGCCAGGCCTTGAGTCCTCAAACTGCGGAGCAGTGGCCGCTGAGAAGCTCGTGAAATGATTAGAAGGGCATGAAAGGATTTTTGTGTAGAATTAGGCACATATACGGCTGATAGTATGATCGTGTATATAGTGGGACGTTTCATCTCTGCAAGCCCGCTTAGGGATGATGGAGGCTCAGAGCTAAGGATCTAGGACAGCCTAAGCGTTGATGGTCCTATTGTCATGGAAGGTCTTTACCATTATTGTGGGGTATGTCAGGGGCCCCTTTTCTGATGAAGCTCCCCGGCCCCAGCCCGGGTCTTACGTTTAGATTATGTCGAGGCCTTATTAATGAAGTTGTGTGAGGATGGAGAAGGAAAAGCTTGGCAGTACCGTGAAGCCATACTCAGAACACTTGTTCAATGTGAAGGAAGACTTGCGCAAGAAAGCAACATTCGGCTTCATGACTTCCTGGCAACCTAGGAGCAGCACCTTCTATGGCGGCACCTTTGCAGAGGAGGCTCAGACCATTTATCCAAGTCGCTGCAGCTCCATTCAGCCTCTTGGAAAAGTGTTCAGATACAAGCCTACAAAGCAGTTTTCATCAGGTGTGCCCTTGTATAAGGACTTTCTCTTGTTTCAAGTTGCTAGAATACACGGATCACCATATTCGTTCGCATGCAAGCGTTTTTTCAGCAATCTTGTGTGTTTTGCTTGCCTCTGCCATTTTTCTTTGACAGTTTACCATTTAGAGGTTAGGCTTCCTAGTTGTGTGCAGCTGCTTCGTCCAATTGTTCGGTCGCATGCTGGAAAACGTAGGAGAATTTTGTGCCGTTTCTTTAACTTTCCCTCGAACGTAAGCGTCATTGACAGATCCTAGCGTGTTGACTACGCCCTTTTGGCGAACCCTGGGAAAAGAGAACAGGCAGGATTATGAAGAAGATTGTTTTGTGCCTGTCTAGAGCCTATGGTGCCCAAGGCCCACGCAGATGCCGGAGTCCTTTGCTCTTCAAGGCCCCTACAAAGGGAGCTTCCAGTATCCTGGGCCTTGCATAGGAGTTTTTTCTGTCTGGTCTGGGAAATGGAATGAATTCAACTCATGGTCTTGTGCTTCCCATGGAGCTTAAAGGTTTCGTAGTTTCCTATGGAGGCAATCACAAACTCCTATAACCCTTGGAAAGGCCAGAAGGGTCATCCTGTGAGGTCCCGGACAGCATGCTTGTACTGTCACGGGACAGAATACGTTGTCCGTTACCTGAAGCGCGATTCTTTTCTCCTGTTCGGGAAAGTTTCCAGCCAAAGAATCCCAGAGGCGAGGCAGACAGAAGGTGATGCCAATCCTGAAATGTCGGCATGTAGTTGTGTTGTTCTATGACTCGAAATGGTCTCTTCTGGTGTGGCTCTCCTACAGCGCCAAATATTTCTGAAACTGTGGTGTATCAACCACGGACCCCTTCTTTTGGAAAGCCCTCGATTTCGTAGGTTCCCATAACTGCATGTAAGGTTGGATTTTCAATTTGCTACGTGGGTAGAGAGCCCTGAGAGTGGGGGCAGGCGAGAATTCAACCAGGGAAATGCCGAACAAGCTACCTCATATCCCCTTTGAGGGCTCCCCTCCTAGAATCGCTTTTTACAGAGTTGCTTTAACCCTAAACCCTCAACCCTATACCCCCATACCCTAAACCCCCTACCCCTAAACCCTAAACCTACACCCTGAAAACCTATACCCTAAGCCATGTAAGCCCTGTACCCTATGAACCCACAAGCAGCAAGGTACGGGCAGTCAAGCCAACCGAGCTTCGGCAGCAGCTTCCACAGCTTCAGCCTCTCCCGGCCGCCGGCCAGCCCTCAGAGGCTCTGGATTTCAGCTTTCGAATAATAGGAATAGGAATAGTAATAGTAATGATAATAGTAATAGTAACAGTAATAGGAATAGGAATAGGAATGGTAATAGTCATAGTACTAGTAAAATTAGCAAGAGTAATAGTAGTAATAAGAAGAATAGTAGTAATAGCAGCAAAAATACGATTTTTGCGTGGATTTGCAGTTTCTGGGCTTAGGATTCAACATCCAGCTTTAGGCTCTTTAAGGGTTCAAGGGTTTGAGGTTTAGGACGGCCCCAGAGGAAGACGATGAATGGCGCATGCCCCAGCTTTGGCACCTGGGCAGAACTTCTTCATGATTTCAGGTTTATGGTTCCTTGTTTCTGGTTGGAGCGAGAGGGCTGGAAACGCCTGACCTTGCAAGGAGATGGCAAGGGCTTGGACTCATTGTGGAGCTTCAACACGCGGCATACCATTGCCTCGAAGCCGGTGAAGGGCCTTGCACCTCCGGGCCTCATTGCCACTGGTATCCCTTGGCTGGATCATGGGCCGGGGCAGGCAACTTTGCAAAGTCCCTTTGCCTCTCCCCGCAGTCGCAGCCCTTCGCCTCTTCCGCCCCCTCCCCCCCCTCTACCTCCACCCCTACGCTTGGAACATGCGCATCCTTCGGCTCACCAAAGAGTTCTGAGCCCCTTGCGATCGCTGAGCCCGACACCTGAGCAGGCCTGGCCGCAGACCGTCCAGGCACCATTTCCCATTGTCACAAGGGCTGTCAGCCAGGCCAGCTCAGTGCCAGCTCCGATCCCGCTTGCATCCTCAGAAGCCACCCAGACAGCTCGCAGCACGGTGAGCAGAATGACCACCAACCCATGCGTGGGTCGTGTAATCTATTTACCTCCCATCACAGTTCCTGCTTCAGGGACATCTGCACCAGCCGAGACGCCTGCCAGTCGCAGCCGATCTATTTCGCCGTTGAGATCGCCATGCATGGGAAGCACTCAGGGGCCAAGAATCATCAGCGACGTTGTCGTGCCAGGTTTGAAGAACCTTCCCGCAACTGTGGAGGAGCCATAGACATGCGTTTCTGCTTGGGCAAGTGCCTCAACTTGAACCATGCGCCATTGGAATGGATATTTAGAGGCATTGTCCTAGAGCTGAAAACCACACAGAAGCTGGCAGACAAAAGGGCTTTGAACTTCAAGTCCATGTCTTACCTTCATGGGGTCTCTCGTGTTTGCAAACTCCCAGATGCTGCAACCTGGAGGACAAGCCAAGCGCCGATACAGCGGGGGCCGAACTGGGAAATCTGTACGAGCCACGACTGCAAGTAGGATAACTATAAGTATCTTCCGTTTAGAACCCTTAATCCAAGCAGCAAAAACCACAAAGCCCAACTCTAGGTGTTTAGGCCAAAGAGAGAGGAGTTCCACAGAGGGGACCATACATAGAACTCCTTATAATCCTCTGTAGCCCGTACACATCCCTGTAAGTGGCCCCCAATCGGAAACTCCTCGCTTGGAATCGCGCGCTGTTGTATGTGCAATGCATTCTGGCCTAACTCGAACGTATCAAGTAGGTTCCCCAAATTGTGTGTCGGTTGGCGAGATTTTTTGTTGTCAGCTGCCGACGTTCGGTGCAGTTCCGTGACTCTTACCTAGAGGGTCCTCGCACTTTCGTTCAAAACTGTGCCTGTGCGCTCAGCGGCGTTTCTCTGGCCGCCGCAGTCCTCCGCCACAGTCCTGGATTCGCGTTCCTTTCGCAATCCCTTGCAGGCGGTCTGAAGTGCAGAACCATTGTGGCTTATGGCTTTTGGCCGGTTCGGCAGCTATCGCGCTGCCTGGAGATTTCGGCTGAAATCGTGTGAATGCTGTCGCCGTCCTGGAGACACTCTGTTGAACATCACGTGCTCTTGAGTGCTCGCCGGCCAGATGATCGCAAGATCCCCGTAAACACTTAGCGACACGTTTACGTGTGTTTCAAGTATAGGTGCAGTACAGGCTTCCATAATTTCAGTATCCAACAACATTTAGCAAGAGGGGTTGTCACATTCAATGAACCACCCCACATTCTGCTCGCGCCCGGTCGTGAAAACACAACCACGGTATGAATTGAAGTAAGTTCTCATCTGCTGACCACGGGAAGCAACGAGCTGGTAACTATCTGTACCTCGCGCATGGTAAGAAGCACCATGACCAGACATTTTCATGTTCTTAGCAGCAAATTGAGCCTAGAGCTGAATTGCAGAGGCCGGAAGGGCAAGCAAGCAAGCCCAACTCCTTGCGAGGTCAGCGACATCCTGCATATGTCCGAAGTCAGGCCGGAAGCTTTTCTAGGGTGGCTTGGTCTTCATTCCCACCTTCTCCGTTGACATACCTGGAAGCAGGACTCCATGATTCGGCTCTTCAAGGGTAGGCTTTTTTGAGACACGGTCTGTTCAAGGAGTGGTGAAGCTTCATAAGCATAAGGTTGTCAAGAGCCACTTACAGGGATTTTGGAGACATCTGAAATCATGATTCTAGGGGCCCATTGGAATCGCAGAGCTCCAGTCGTGGTATCTAGGAGATGGACGATTGGAAAAACCACAATCTCGTTTTTGAGGTCCTCACATACAGAATCATTGTGCTCGGAGTAGACAACTGGGCCTCATAGATCATGCAGATTGCCCATGCGCAGGGTTGTGACGAAGTCGTGCGCGCAGGCTGTCATCCTTGCCAAAGCCTAGCTCCATTCCAGGCAGACGGGAACTGCAAAATTGCCTTGCAGACCAGCAAAGACTGTGTGCCTATTGTCGATGAGTAGCTGATCCCTCAACGAAACGGTCACCAAAAGGTACATTCAAGTGTGGCGGTTCCTCATATGAGGAGTCACAAAGTCATTGCTGTATTCAAGTTCGGATTTTGTGGTGTGTGCTTGTCACTCTTGCGAAGTGTGCATGCCGAACACAGTGACTATACACCCCATTTCCCGAATGCAAGTGATCTTGCTTAGTTTCTGGGACCTTTGAAAGTGACTATGGATTCAGCTGTACCTCCGGCGTAGCCTTCAACCTTTGGGATTTGGAATCAACCTCACAGACCCGCAAATACCATCATAGACCCCGACAACAATAATGATCTGTGTCTATTTCGCACAATGGGAAAGGGGTGATTGATAAGGACAGCTTCTTTACCCGAGTCATGGAGGGCCTCCGTATTTCATGAAACACAAACCATGCTTGCAGGCGCAGGGTCAGATGCCAGCACGGATGCGCCTGGACCCACGCTTGTGGCTGAGTCATTCTAGATCACAGGGCTTCAGAATATTAAGGTAATATGGGGTTAGGTTGGGATAATGGAAAACAAAATGGAAACTACAGGGGTCATAGGATTATATAGGAGCTATAAGGATTATATAATATAGGGCTTAAGGGCCATCCCTTTAAAAAGACAGGGCTCTCACCTAGGTGAGCTATAGTGGAAACCAGTCGAGACTCCTTAAGGGGGTTATATAGGGGAATATATGGTCGAATATTATAGAGGGGATTAGAATTAGGGGTCATGTAGGGGGATACTCGGAGTTTAGATTATAGCTCAGGTGATGTTTCAGGGCAGATGTTCTCAAGGACAGTGACTTGCATCCACAAACAGCACAAGTGTAGCGGTTGTCCATCCTCAAACCCGGGAAGCCGTGGGGACCTTACAAGGATGTATGAGTTAGTTCTGTATGAGCTATAGTCTAAACTCGTTACATGGGGTTATATAGGGGATTCTATAGGGGGCGCTTTGTGAGGGTTATTAAGGGGAAGTTTTCACACTACGGCTCATTTGGGAGTTTCTCAGAATCATCCCTCATTAAGAACCCCTAAACCCTGTCTAATTCCTGTATATCCCTTGGAGTCCCTAGCGGATTCCAAGTTTGAAGGGCCCGGCCATCTCCTCCGTAGCTTGAGGCTGGGCTCTCTTTCGGAGATGCAGATGCGGAGAAATTAGAATTGTCCCGTGTTCCCTCAACCAGGAGGATGCTGGTACTAGGATTGTTGCAAGAGACACGCAGGAATGCAGGCTGCCTGCAAGCTCCCAAGGAGCCCAGCACTTCTTGACGGAATGTTGCGAATCAAAACAGAACATAAGATTTCCCGTCCTACGTGATCTAAAGCATGTTCCTTGATGAGCATTATGGGGCGTAATGGGGCTGTGATTAATATTGCTGCGCGACGCAGTTGCCGTCTTTTGAAAGAAAATCCTCTTCAACAAGCGCTTCAAACACATGTTTGCGACACCCGAAACATCAAACCCCACAACCATACTCCCCAAGGGCTACGGGTATCCCATGCCGAGAACCCTAAGTCCTACAACCCTTCGAAGCAAGCGTTATGAAAGGCCTCCGGTGCCACCCTTGCGGGGCGTCTCCCGGGTCTTCCGGCGGGGTCTCTTTGCAGGAGAGCTGGCGGGGCTCTGAGGGGGTTTACTGTAGGGTGCAAAGGGGTCTTAGGCTTTAGAGGGCAAGGGCTCGGCGTGTTTAGCCCGTTCTGGGCTATGTATCGCTTTAAAATGTACATTGAAGACTGAACCCGAAACCATAAACCCTAGACCCCATTAATCCCTAAACCGAAAGCCTGGACCATGGACTCAGCGTATCTCCGAGCCATCATGGGGGTATAGGGTGTAAGGGTATATATTGGGGTTATATAGTTTTATAATGGAATAATGGAAAATAAAATGGAAACTGCTAAATTATGGGGGTTATATTGGGGTTATACTCATGTAGCGGAAGACCGCCCAGGCCCAGGTAGAGACGCTTCTGTCGCCTGCTGGGGAGATGGAGCTGCGCCATGCTGCCAGCCAGGCCAGGAACCTCCCTAAACAGGGCATAATATAGGGGATATGGGGATTTCCCAAAATAAGGGGTACTGCTACCATTTTGAGGGTTCCCATAATAAGGACTATAGTATATTGGGGTCTATATTGGGGTCCCCCTATTTTGGGAAATTACCTCATAGGGGTGAGTAATGGAAAAGCAAATGGAAACTACAATTATTATACGGGGAAAAGATAGGGCATAGCCCCATGCCCCAAAGCTTTTAAGCTTTCAAGCCGACATTCTACAGCATCATAAGGACTCGTTTTCTACACTTTGGTACAAGACAAGGGTTTCTCAGAGCATCTTCTGTCCCACGAGCATGCAAAGCATGAAATTCAGAGTCCACAATTCTAAGCAAGGGGCATGGATTAATTGGTTAAGTCACCCTTACGCAGACGTTCGGACCACCAGGGGTCTAACACGCATCATGCATGAAGATTCAGATTTTGGACTTTAAGGGACATTCTGGGTTTGAAGTTTCAAGGCGCAGGTTGCTGCAAGGTTTCTTCTTCTGAGTTTTTTGAGGCGAATCTCTTCCTTGGCGCGCTTTTGACCTCGAAGCCTTGATGGCGCTGTGAGTAATCCAGTTGAGTATGAAGCCCTGCGTTGATTTGGATTGATTTGGGCGTGTATTGATCCAGGAAGTGCCTGGCCAGCGGCATCTGTCACAGTGGCCTCCTGCACCTCTCAGATATCCCGAGCTTATGCCCTGAGGAGTTCCGTTGGGCCCTCCAAAGTGGTGGTCGTGCACGGGGCGATACCATCGACCTGGCCGCGGCGCTGACGGTGCCTTCGGCATGGCGCAGGGTTGGGGCGCTTGGTGTCCGTCTAATCATACGCGCAACTCTTAATTTGTATTCCTAAATATATGCGATATGGTCTGATGTGTTTTGAAGTTTTTAGCGCAGTTCTTCGTGAGCATGTACAGGGGCAGGGGACATATCCTTCATGCGTAATTTTTATCCCGTACGGAACTAGCATCCCTGTTCTACGACCTTGAGGGCCTGGATCCACCTGGATCTGCTCGCTACATGCGGATCAGATCGCCCGGCGAATTGAATAGACTGCTCATTCGTCTTTACGCCCGCCTTTCTCTAACACTGTAAATGTAACGTCCTGGATTCTTAAATAGCAGGGAGCTCTTGTCCTAGTCCCTATGGTTCTATGGCATGTCTCCGGAATCGTCATGTACCAAGCATCAGCTCTATGTAAGTGCACTTCTATCACCGTGACATCGCCCGAGCCGAACAGCAGGGCTCGAACTCAGGCATGTAGAGCCAACTTTGTAAGATTCTCCGGAGACTCGCACTTTTAAGTAAAGGCTATATCACAGGTCTTTGCCATGAACACCGACAGGATTCATGGACACCTGCAGGAACTTACCTGGACTTCCCCTGGTTGAGGGTCCGTTGTATAGTACCCAGGCCTCTGCAAGCAACTCGTGCGGATCCTCAAGCCAGATCCTCACATTCCTCTAAGGCTGCTTACGTGAGACCCTTCTCGAAATTTGATCGTCTTAAGTTGTTGTTTAGGGTTTTGCCCGAAGACTGTGACAGCTGACAGCGCTTTCATGGAAGGCTGTTCGTCAGCTGGCGTACCTTTACGGTCTGCCAGCGCTCGATGCAGATGCAGCACAGAGGCAGGTCTGACACATCTCGATGAGTGCTGTGATGTAGGTTTCGGGAATTGTTTAGACTTCGGTAGAGCTTCTGCGAGCAGTTTTGGCAGATGCCGCCCGGAGCCCCGGGGCAAATTAAAAAAGCGGAGAGTTGGGATTAGAGAGTGCAGCTGAGGGAGGGATCTGTAAAGAGCTTTTTGTTTAGAATTTGAATTTTCTCCCAGGATTAGACTAGCGTTGCAAAGTTGCTCTAGAATGTAGCATTTGTACATGCATAGATTGGGTGCAGCTGTGTCACGGCTGAAGCAGTGCAGCTGTAGGTGTTTTGGAAGCGCCGACGCCGTTGACCTGCCAACCTTTGAGGCGCACGTGATTGGAAGCTCCAGCAAAACATCCGGAACCCTAAAGCCTCAGGCCTCCGTTGAGGAGCTAGCATTTAGGGCATTTAGGGCACATCTTTCCGTCTCTGGGTCCAAATTAGAGTTCCAATATGTACTGAGCACTGCCAGGACCTGAAGCATCCTCAATTTGATATCGCATGAAGCCCCATCGATCATTACCGTTATCGAATTAACTTCTACTGAGCCAACTTTGGTTTGCGCCGTTCTTTGATTCTTGCCTGATAGTTTGCACCATTGTGAGCTAGAACAGGCACTGTGGCTCCAGGTTGTTGGGCTCCCGGCACCGAAGAGCCCTCGTTGATCTTGCAAACATTGGGAAGGAAACCTGACAGTACCTAATCTTACCGGTTCTTAGCAGGGAATAAGAGACTATAATCCCTATATGATATACTACCTTACTCCTCTACTTTCAGGCTAGTGACCTTTGAAAACTCGAGACTCGACTTGGAGGATGAACCGGAAGTTATTAAGGAACGTAAGTTAAGTTACTATAACACGGGAGCCTGATTACTTATTATACACCTATATACTGGGAACTTGATGTAAGTTCCTTAGCAGCAATCCAGTCATATACTGTCTGGAGGAGGTCTGACCCTTTAAAATCTTGAATTCGTTTCCTCTTCCGGTCTGGAACACGATTTGGCTTAGGCCCGAAACCCCAAGCCTGACCTAATTTCTTTTGGGCAGATGGGGCACCCTCTAAAAAGCCTAGACTGTGGCTGTTCGGGAGTGTGAGCACACAAAATAGTTGCTTCTGAAAACTGCAGGCCTTCTTTGAGGCGTGGGGCGTCTCTTTGCTCATTCATATGGGTGTCCCAGGGGTTGTGGCAAGAGGTCTTCCCATTGCTGGCAGCATTGCCCAGCGAATAGCTTCATTGAACCCATCTACGCTCCGCAAGCCTGTGGATCTAGATTTTGTGCGTGATCCAGTTTGTTGCCGTTGGTTCGTGGCTTCTGCAACTTCTGACTCTCCCTTCCAACATGAGAAGGGAGCCTGTTGTCAACAAGTGCACGCAACAATCCGCTGAACCTCAAGCAAGTCGATTTGTCCACATAGGAATCCCAGAAGCGAGTCTGCAAAACACGTCGTACTCATTCAGTTTAACGCTTTGAAGGCATTGCTCATCTGCCTCCGCCTCGCAACCCTTAGGCCGAAGCCAGCTAGATTTGTACAGTTGTTTGTCCAGTATTCACCACAATTAACATCCACTGAGTACCAAGCCCTGAACCCCCAAGCCCAACCGCTCCCAGCCCTTTGCCAGGCTGCCTTGCCAATGCTACTTAGGGCCGCCCTGCAGCAGCAAAGCCACTGAAGCTCCGGCAGCTTGCCAAACCGTTTGGGTTTCTGGTTATATTGGGGTTACATGGGGACAAGCGAAAATAAAATGGAAACTATTATAGACCTAATATAATCCCTATATAACCCTATCATACTATTAGTATAATAGGGTTATATTGTGATTATAATAGGTTTGGCTTAAGGTTCGGAGGCCTTAGGGCCGAGTTGAGGTGAGAGGGTTGAGAATTGCGCCATTCCAAGAAGAGCCAAAGAGCAAATGGAATCATATCAGCAGTTGCGTGCTGTTTATTTGGCCTAGTACCAAGCAGCTGCGCATGTGGAGTCTGTTTGCACAAATTCATGGAGTTTACCTCCAGGCACAGGCTCAACCTTGAGGTGAATTAGTTTCCGGATGCTTCAGAAGCCTAGGCCTAGGCTGTCTGCAGTGCCTGGAGTCCATTTGTGTATTTGGGGATGTTCCGAAATGGTGGGTCCTGTTTTGAAGTCTCTTTCCTGAGGAGTGCATGTTTAGGGCACACAGAACACTGGGACCCCATCTCGGGCAGGTACCCTGTTCTTAAATGAATTCAGAGAAGATTCTGCCAACGTTGCGGATTGCGGATGCACAAGCAAGGTGTCCTGCACCAGACAGGACGAGAGGAGGAGTCAATCTCGGTAAGTGTGCAAAACCCAGTTATCCTTACATAACCCCATAATATACCTTAATATAATATAGCAGTTTCAATTTTCTTTTCCATTATCCCCAAATAACCCCAACATTCGCCCAACATACTATAGTGGTTTCCCTTTCTTCTCCATTGTCTCAGGAAGTAGCCCGCTTTTGCCTCCGTAGGTCATTCTCTAGCATGGTTTTCAGTTTCTGTCCCCTGGAACTATGGTCGAGCAGCACTTACAGCCTTTTCATGTTGAGGCTATGGCCTTCGGGCAGTAAAGCAAGTCAGCACCCAGTCCGAAGTCGACGTTGACGGGAAGCATCCACCTGGTCCAGCATTCTGCGCTTATAAGCTCGAACTAACATACCTCATGAAGGTTGGTAGGGGGCGGCTGGCAGTTCATCACAGCGAGCGTGCTGCAGCTTCGGTGCTCAAAGAATGCAGCCGGCCATGGTGGCCGTTGCAGCAGAAGCGCCCCGCGGCTCAATCAAGGCTGAACAGAAGTCACAATCGGATATGTTGAGCCCAGGTAATCAATCACCCAGGTAATCCCAAGCATTAGTATCCGGAATTTCAGTAGTACTTTCGTACTCACTCATTCCCTCAACAAGTGCAAGGGAGAGCAGGGTCCAAGAGGCGGTTCTGGAGCCAGGTTCTCGGGCGTTTCTCAAGACAGCCACTGTATTGATGCTGAGAGATCCTCAGGGTGCCTCGTTTCAAATCGTCATTTCCTCAAAGCAAATCTCCTGCAGAATGGCTTCAAGCGATTGGAGGGGCAGGGTCTTGTCAACTGAGGCTTCAAATCATCGGTTCAGGGTATGCGCATGTAAAGTAGAGAGCTGAAGTGCTGCAAGAGCAGAGCTGCCTTCAAGCGAGCTGCAAAATCAGGGTTCCGATTTATCCATCCTTGCCATGAACTCCCGAAAAAGGGACGCCTCGGCTTAGCCCGGATTGTAATATATTGAGGCTTATTAGTGTGGAACCCTTAACTACCTCCACAGCCCAAGACAGAACCTCTACAGCCCAGGACAAAAAACCTACCAACATGACGTGGCTCCAGCGCGGAGCACTGGCAAGCAGCATTGCGCCCAGCCAACGGGTTCTGTGATAACTTCTTGGTGTTCTGCTGCTGTTGATTTAAAGGGGATATTGGAGTTAGTAGGGAATAAGGGAAGAAATTATCTCAGCAACAGACCCCAA